TGAAGGCTAGGTAGCAGGGTCGCCGCTTCGCTTCGGTACTTCTCCATCAGCTGTCTGGCGATGAAGATGGCATCGGTGGTGGACCTCTCGGGCATGAAGCCGAACTGTTCCTGCGAGATAGGGACAAGCTCCCTCAGCCTAGTGTTGACCAGGCGCTCGTACAGCTTCATGGTATGGGGAGTCAACTTGATGCCCCAGTAGTTGAAACACTCCGTCGCGTCTTCTTTCTGAGCTTGGAGATCGGAGGACGACTGTGGGCTGCTTTTCGTGTCACGCATTTGCATCCTTCCTCTATTAGCCAATTACGGTGTTATAAGGAAGTCTGTGAGCAAACTCACCCCTTTTAAATGCGCTCTCTAGGACATCTCTCATGCCTCTACCTCTATCTGTGGGCTGTCCTTGCGGGGGAATTCTTCGTTCAGTAGTCCCTCGAAGTATTCTTCCCACCTCTTTCTGACTTCGGCTGGTTTCCTGAGAATGGCCCCGTTGCTGCTCTTCACAGTCTTTACGACCCTGATGTCCTGAGCCGAGCTTTAGCCAGGCGGAAGACGAACTTGTCCCCTTCTCGGCCTTCCAGCTTGTCGTACAGGGCGTCCATTTCCGTATTCTTGGCCTTAGCAACGGCTGCCTTGGCGAGTCGCTTGCAGCTCTTGTAGGCAGCGAAGTCTTCTGGGCTCTTTGTCCAGCGTTTGTATGCTTCCTTCTTCTGCTTGACGATCCCCTGGACTTCCTCGTTCCAGAACCAGGCTGCCTTGTCTCCTCTGATACCACCTCGCGTCTCTCCCAGGACTTCCTTTGCACACTGTAGGATGACCTCTACTGCGTGGGTCCAGGTGTCCTGGACTGGCCCATGTGGGTCTGGGAGCCCAGCCTCCAGTATTCTTCGGCCGAGGCTATCCTTTTCTACCTTGCACATTTTCATTTTTTTTCAGGAATTCTCCGCTCTGCTCTCACCCTTGTCTTCTTGGGGAGGTCTATGGCGATGTCTGCCAGGAGAGGCCTGTGCTGAGGGCCCAGCTCCCCAGGCAGTACCTTGATATCCTTGACGGTTTTGAGAGACGATCTTCTGACCAGGACATGGTCGATTTCCGTTTGTCTCCCTCCACTGCTGTAGGTTACCTTCTGAGTCCTCCTTTTCGCGAAGAAGGTGCTGCAGATTGCTAAGTCGTGGGCTGTGGCTAGGTCAAGGATCCGTTCTCCCTCAGCGTTCTTTGTCCCTATTCCTTGACCTCCGTGCACCCTTTCTAGACCCCTTCTGTCACTTCCCACATGGCCATTCAGATCCCCAGCTATGGTGAGGTAGTCATCTTCCGGAACCGATCTATGGCCTCGTCCAGGGTCAGGTAGAACTCATCCTTTTCCGCCTCGGAGCAACCGGATTGTGGTGCGTACACGGTCAGTACTGTCCAGTACCCCTCCTTCGTGTCCATTCTCACTCCCATGATCCGATCACTGATCCTGTTCACAGAGGAGACGCAGTCCTTGAGGGATTCTGCCACCGCTATGGCCACGCCATTCCGTTTGGTGTCTGCTCCATTGTAGAAGAGTTTGAATGGATACG